GGCCCCTTCCCCCTAGAATAACGGAAGTGGTTAGCACAGGGAATGTGATTTGTTACAGGGATGATTACAAAGAACACATGCCTCCATTGTCAACTCCCTGGAGGTCTCCTACCTTGAGCCATGCTAAAGGGAGCCTTAAAGTACCAAACCTCCATGAAACCATCTTGGGCAACAAACAAAGTCTTTTATAAAAAGTCTTACTCTCTTCACATTGAAGGTAATTAAGTTGAGCTGAACTATACTCACTTAAACATAACTAAATTCACTCTACATTTTTCTCTCTCTGCACTCAGAGAGAGTTTCTCATCTTCTTCGTCCACTTACTACCACACCGAAGGAGTTATCCGGCCAACCCCGGTCGGACAGCTCTAACGGTGCTCGTTGTTGCAGAGACTCAATTCTTGGATAGACCAATCGGGTGCGGAGCTCCGGTCTATAATCATCTAGTGTGGTATTCGGTATGCACAGCTATTAACATAATGCCTAAAATGACCATAATGTCCTCATTAGTTTGCTTGCTATTATCTTGTCTTTCTCTTTCCTCTATTATACATATTTTTATCTCAAATCAAACATCAACCAAATTATATTATATATAATTAACATACAATAAATCATCCAATTATATAACAACAGAAAATTTTTATTTTTTTTCTACTCAAATCATATATTATTTTAACATAAATTAAATCACCCAATTATATATTATGTTCTCATTTTTTTTTTCCTTAATGGCTGCATTTTTTTTTTTTTTGGCTGTAGAATTAAACATAGGCCATGTTCGTTTAAAGGTTTGGAGAGAGAGAAATGGATTAATAGTCCATGGTTCTTACAAAACTAATACTGATTTGAGTAAAATGCCATGGGATTAACAATCCATGAAAAATGTGGGATTGCTAATCTAATCGGGAATATTTATTTACACACTATACAAACTCTCAGTACACACAATTTCCGTAATTCACATTGCACATGTTTTGAATTGTTTTCTTTTCTTTTTCAATTTACTCCATCAATTGTTTTGTGAACAATCCCAAAATACCTTCATCTTGTCCAATTTTCAAACCCTAACCTAGTTCTAATCCTACTAGCATAGCTAGTTGCTACCCCTTCTCTAATAGTCTCTTTGGTGCCGTTTGGTAACACTTACGTTTTCAATTTTTTGTTTATATTTACAAAAATTTTAAAAACTCAAATAAAAACTTGTGTTGGTAAATTTTTGATTTATAAATCAGTGGTCTCAGTTTATAAATTTGGCCAAAAAATATAAACTCAAAAAATGTGTTTCCGTTTTGAGTTTTGAGTTTTTTTTTTTTTTTACTACCCAACACTAGCCACCACCCGCCACCATTTTCCACCATCGTCTTCTGCCGCCACCACCACCCACCACCCAACCCCCACCACCCACCTAAGACCACCACCCACCACCCACTTGCCACCACCACCCACCTCTCGCTGCCACGTATCTTTGTGAAAGGATGCATGCAAAAGCGTACGTGTAAGGATTGAACTGCCACCAAGGCCGAGCTAGAACAAATCCAAAGCGATACGACGGTTGCGGTATTGGACAGTAGCTCCACCCAAGGGGAACCTTAGCGCAAGCTAGGGGGCAAGTGAAAGGGCTGAATATGAAACGGGTCAGACCCAAGCCTTGGGTTGGCCCAATCCATTAAACCCAAATCCAAGTGGGTTAGATGAATACATGGGCCAGCCAACTGAGTCCATCTCCATGATAAATAATTCACCCAAGTCCTCAAGCACTTGGGCCCAACTTCCAGTAGAAAGGCCAGTCTAGTTGCGACGCTAGGCTGGGCAGAGCTGTTGGACCCACCCACCACCACCATCACCCACCACCCACTCGCCACCCACCTGTCACCACTACCCACCACTCGCCACTACCACCACCACCACCACCACCACCCACTCACTACCACCCGCCACCGTCACCCATTCACTCACCACCACCACCCACCCACCACCACCCGCTACCCACCACCCACCGTTACCATTTTCCACCACCGTCTTCTGTCGCCACTTGCCATTTCTCGCTCTTTTTTATATTTTTAAAATTTTTAAAATATTTTGTCAATTACCAAACGCGTTTGTACTTTATGTTTTTCTAAAAATAAACAAAAACTAGTTTATAAAATTTTTATAAATATAAATTGAAAATGTAAATATTACCAAACAGACCCTTTGTAACCACCACTCACAAGCCATGCTATTATCCCATCGCAAGATAATTTTTTCTTAAAAAGTAAAAAGTTGATTAAAATACTTACTTCCTAAAATAATCTTTAGGTTGAATCTATAATCATTTAGGAATAGAGACTTTTTATTTTTATAACTAAAATATTAAAAGAAAAAATGAAAATATTTAAAATGAGTTTTTAATTTTTTACAAAAAATTAAATAAAAAATAAGTTTTAATTTTTACTTTTTTTTAATACCTTTTTACTTTCACAACAAGCCTCAATTTCGTGGTTTTAAAAAATATTCGGATGGTTTGGGTTGAGATTTGGGATAGTCTAGTCTAGTTCGGCTCATTGGGTTTATTTTTTGGTCTCTTTTCGATAATCAGAACCGTTTATATTGTAAGATTTTTTTAATACATTATTCTTGTAAAAATTACATCAATCGGGTAATGGATTTGGATCACTTTTATCTAGAAAAAAAATAAACGGCCAAAAAAATAAAGGTTCATAAAAAAGTAATTTAAATACATAGTATTCGTTATCCGCCCGACGTGATTTTTTACAAAAATAATATACCTAATAAACCTTTAAAAATAAATAATTTAAATTATCAAAAATATATATATATCAAAAAATTGACCCAATGGGTCGAATTGAATCTTCCAGTCCAAACGGTATGAAGGCAAGCCTCAGCTTTTTAAAAACCACTCAAAAAGGTTTGTAGTGGTCTATCTAAAAATTAAAATTTAAAATTTTTTAGTGGCAACTTAACTCGGGAGGGGGAAAAAAAAAAAAATTCGAAGCCCAAAACGACGTCGTTTTGGGCTTCGAGCCGGATTCGAGCCAAGCATTTCGGGCCCTCAAACATTATTCTTTTAAGTTTTATGTAAAGTTAATGAGGAGGGAGGGTACTTTTTCTACTAGATTTACTTTTGAATTTCTCCTATTTTAATTATGAGAAGCCATTTAAGACCCATAAGTGTAAAAGAAGAATTTACTATAATCTTGTGGCTGCCAAGAGTTTATTGCCCCTTTTGAGAAGTGAGTTATAATTCACTTCTCAGATTATAATCCACTTTTCCTCTCACAAAAAAACTGTTTATAAGCAGTTTTTAATCAAAAAATTGATTATAACCATCTTTTCAAAATAGTCCTATGTTGCGACTATGGTGGTGTTTGGAAAGAGGCCAAAAGGCTATTTTAGCCTCATTTTAAATAAATAGTAAAAAAGTTACACTGTAACTGAGTTTGTTTTTTTATTTTTTATTTTTTTAATCAGAAACTGATGTGGACAGATTTGGCAGAAGTGTGTGTCTGTGTAGGGTATATTTGAAATTACGATTTTGCCCTTTTACTTTTTGACTAACCCACCAACTTAGCATTCCAACCCACAGGGGCACTTTAATCATTTTATATCCCAACATAATTATAATCCAAGTCAGGGACAGCTTCATCATGTCATGCACAACTTTCAGGGAATAATTTAATTATTTTTTATCTAAACATCATTTCAAACACATTTTTTAATACAATAATTCAAATAAAAATCCAACCCAACTTTTCAAACATAAAAACTAAAATAACCAATTAAAATAGTCAAAAAGTCAAAAAACTTCTAAAATAGTCACTTCCCAAACACTCAATATATATATATATATATATATATAAAACATGTTATCAAAAACATGCTGGAAAATATATAGCACTCATTTGGGAAGTTGGATTGGGGTGGGTTGGGGTTAAAATAGTTATAAAAAGATAAAATAAATTTTTTAGTTCAATAAGACAAAATATCACATCTAAATTATAATTATTTTATTTTTCTTTTTACAAAAATCAAAAAAACTAAAAAGTTTATCATAAACGAAACTTTTAATCACAGACTAAAATAATCAAAACAATTAAAAAGTTAAAACCAACCTACATCCAAAGGAAGCCATAATATATCTTCGCCGCCAGGCTGAATACATGCTCCCAGTGAGATTTGAGTACTATGAAACAAAATCCACCTTTGCAGTACAGGTTCTATTTGATTGAACTCACAAAAATGGTGATTTCCCTCTCAGCTTCCATTCATTCTGTGCTCCACTAATGGAATGAACATCCACCTTTGTGTGTTTTTTTTAAAAAATTATTTTTATTATTTTTAGTACTTTTTTTCCTACTTTGGGTGCGTTTGTGTCCCGAGGAATTGTATAATTCCATTCTGTTTGTATACAGTAATAATAATGAGTGCAATTTGGTTAATGCTTGGGAACATGTTATATTTGTAATTTTTTAATTTTTACGAAAAAATATATAGAAAAATAAAGAGGATGATATAATAATTTATAGTGATTTTTTGACTTTTTAATTAAAATATTTAATCCCCAAACGAGACTGGAATCTAGTTGCAAGTGTGAGATTGACGACTGTGTTTTTTTTATTATTCTAGTCTATAATTTTCATTTTCATGAGCATATACAAACATAGCATAATGTAATATTTATACTATAATATGATTGTGCACTTTCGCAATATATAAAATGAAGTAGATCTTTATATATATACATATATTATATACCCACTATATGTAACATCGGTTTGTGTTTGTTGACTCAGCTGAATTAGTGAGGAATCTAACTAGCTCTTAGTCCATTTTGGTTTCATAGTTTTTCTCTAAAACCCTTTCTGGAAAACTAAAAGCACTCTGGGATTTTTAAATATTTGTTTCATATACCATGTATGTTGAAAAAGATTTAAGTATACAGACCACTGGTGGAGCTCTGATTTTTATATAATTAATCAATCAGCTTTGCTGGAATATTGAGTGAATGCACCACAATTTCATGGAATTAATGGAAATAGGAAAACAATAATGCAAACAGCTACAAAACAATTGAAAGTTATGTACAATTATACCATCAATTCCCCAGTAGTACTAAAATTAAATTTCTTCTCCAGGAAACCCCCAACCCAGATGAAGAAGAAGAGTACAGATAAACAAGAGGTCAACCCAAGCAGCAGCATCAATCATACAATTAAGAAAAAGAAAATAAATGATTAACTAATTCCCCGGTAATTACAAATCAAACCTTCTGGTTCAAGAGGTGCAATATTTATGATTGTTTCCTGTGGCGGCGGCGGAGGAGGAGGAGGAGGAGGAGGAGGAGGAGCTGCAGATGATGAGGTAGGCATAGGCGTAGGCGGCAGAGGTGGCTGGGTGCAGCAGGCAATGTTTTGGCATGTGTCAATGAGGCAGTGCCTGCAGGTAGGGCATGAGGAGTGTGAATTGAGCCACTTGTCGATGCAGTGGACATGGAAACCGTGGTGGCACTTCGGCAGGACTCTTACTCGCTCACCGCTCGTGAACTCTGATAGACATATAACACATTCAGTGTCCAATACCAACCCCCCTGGCACTTGTTTATTCTTCAACTCTGCTGAGTAGTTCAGTGTTGGGAAAGTCTTCAGTGCCTTTTTCTTGATTCCAGTGTTGGCTAGCCTGCAAGCTGATGATGGGTTGACTCCTCCTCCAGACTCTGATGATGAGGCTACTACTATACTCGAGCACTTTAATGCACACCTAATGATAGAATTCAATCCCAGTGAGCATATTAGTGCACACAAGAGGACTGAAAGGACCATCACAACATTTGCATCAAAAGTATTGTCCCCCCCGGCAGCCGCTGCTCCATAGGCTTCACTCGCGTTTCTGCTAGCCGGAGGAGTCGCTGCAGCCGTAGCTGTTGATGATTGGTAAAGTGGGGTGTGCAGCAGCAATCTTCTACTTGAGTAGAATTGTTGAAGAGTATCTTGGACGAGCTGAGTAGTAGAGGAAGAAGAAGTAGAAGTAGAAGTAGAAGCTGAAGCAGACATGGCTAGTTTGTTTTTGTTGATTGTTTTGAGTTTTGGTTGATTGGTTGTTCCATAGGGGCATAAAGGATTATATAGAGAGGGAGAGAGAGAAAGAGTAAAGGTAGAAAATATTTGATTTTGCCTTTTGAGTTTATAAACAACTATAACTATATGATTATTAAAACTAACTATGATATTTTGAGAACATCCTGTGGGTTTTAAGCAAATCTTGGTTGTATTTATCGCATTTCCCACCATTGGATCCTCCACAATAATCTTCCAGCACTTTAATTGGCTTTCCAATGAAATTGGGCCCATCCACTTTGTGCTCAGCAGACAACGACAAAGCTGCAGTTGGCTTTCATGAATCATTATTCAGGGGAAAATGTTTATGAGCTCTAGTGGAAAAGTTTTAGAGCATGCTTTAATGATGTGATAGTTGTGTGGGGTCTATTTTGATGTGATGTGTTAATTTCATATATTTTTTTGAATTTACTGGCTCAGTAAAATTTTATTTTTATATTATGTTTGGTTGAGGGATTTAAAAAAGGATTTGAAAAGGAAAATGAAAAAGGTATAAGTGAAATGTGAATAAATTATGTCTATATTTCACATAGTTTCACATACCATTTTTCTTTTCCTTTCCAAATCCCTTCCCAAATCTCCCAACCAAATATAGCATTAAAATTTTAAATCATCATTATTATTCAAAACTGCTACATACGTTTACATAAAAAAGAAATTGTATGGTACCTATGCATCTTAATTATGATTTTTGTGATATACTTATGATTTATTAAGACGTTAGTTATGATTTTTTTATAATATTAGTTATGACATTATTTTAATTATTATTTTATTTATGATTTAAAAATTCTTCAGTTATACTTTATGATGGTCGGTTATAATTCATATTTTTTTTAGTTATGATTTCTGTATGATCAAATATTGACATTTGTAATCATAACTTGCATATCATAATAATTCTTTTAAACAAATTATTGAAAATTATATACAAATCTCATATAGCATAAGTCCTGTACCTATATGAGATTGTGTGTAAAAATTTTAATATATATATATATATATTTTAAACTCCCTAACATTGCTTACCATTATTCTTTTTAAAATGCCACATGAGTCCCACTTATCCATGCAGGAGAAGGAAGAAGAAGGGCTACTCCAATGCCAAGTAAATGGAAAATATAGCCATATACACACAATGTTATTGTTTGAAACAATTCAATTGGACTGCACAATGAACTTGACTGAAGAAATTTTTTTTAGAGTAATGCTACGTAGGTCGAATTGTGCCCCCGAATCCCCCTAATTTACGAAACGACGTCGTTTCGTCGTTTTCATTTTTTTTTTTTTTCAATCAGAAAATCAGAAGAAGAAAGAAAGAAGAAGAAAGAAAGAAAAGAAGAAGAAAGAAAGAAGAAGAGAAGAAGAAGAGAAGAAGGCAGAGGCGGAGGAAGAAGGCACAAGCGGAGGCGACGACAGCCGGGCGGAGCGGCGACGACAGCCGGGCGGAGCTGCGACGATCGGCCGGAATGCAGGGGCCTCTGTGTGTGTGTGTGTCTCCATTCCCTCTTCTCTCTTTTCTCCCTCTCTCCTCTCCTCTCTCGTTCTCTCTCTCTCTCTCTTGCCTTCACCCTCTTTTCCCCCTTTGTTTCCCTCTGTTTCCATTTTTGGGGGATTCGGGGAGGAGCTCATTCGAGCTCCCAAGCTTTATCTTTTTTTTTTATTGCAGGGTGTAATCCTCGAAAAGTTTCTTCTTCCCTACAAATGGTTTGTCATTGCCACACAAAGCTGTACTGTTTTTTTTTTAGGGCTAATATTTTATTTTGTATCTTTGATGTTTGAAGTGATGGACACGTCAAAATAATTCTGAGTCAGACTCAACTCTGAATTTCTAGAATAGGTTGGGGTTAAATTCCAATTCAACTCAGTAATTAAGTTGATGGAGATAAACCTCCTATTTTTTTTCCTTCTAAATATTTCAAAAAAATCAAACTATTTATTCAGTTAATTCACATTTCAAATTATTGAGCAAATTAATCGACTTTTAAAAAATGCAAATTTAAAATGCAATTTTACCATGTAATCGTAGGTTCAAAATGTATGTTGGCAATACGAGTGATTCTATTTACACTCAAAAAATTATTTATGTGGGTGATTTTCTGACCACACTGCCAAACAGGTACCCAGCTGGAGAGCACCGACAGAATAGATTAAGTCCAAACGACCTGCAACAGAAAGAAGAGTTTCCGGTGGTGGCTCGTCCACTCGGGGGCACTCCGACGATCAAGTCAGTACTCAATATCTCTCAAAGAAAACCAATAGTGCTTAACTCACTAGACAGAATATCAAAAGCATACCTTAGACCCATGGGAGTGCCCCCCTTTTATAGCCAACACAATCCTAGTCCCAATAGGAGCCTGACTCTAATGGATTTAGGATTACTGCTAATCTTGGACTCCCAGTAGAATTAGGATAAACTCTCTAAGAGTCTCATCTTTATCCAAACTGAAGTCTTCTCCCATTCTAGGACTCTTGTCCCTTATCCGCTTATCTCAGATTCTAGTATTCTTGCAGATAACCTCGGCTTAGCCGAGATTATCTCGGCGTCATGACCAGGACACGTGGCACCTCGGCTGGTACTTCGGTGACACCTCGACCACGTGTTGCCATTCAAAAATTATGTCCCCACAACTGCCCCCTAGGTTCTATTACCTCGGCATCCTAAGGTGATGGAACCTACACATGTACTCCTCTGGCCGAGTTCATGGATTGTCGGCGCCAAGAATTTAGGACTCATATGTCCACTCATCAAGAATTAAGAATGAAGAATCATCATGTTCTTTCTCATCCAGGTTCAACATCTCAACAGAGATCACCCTATCATCAGAGATCATCATCAGATTTGGAACATACCAATCACGCCCCCATTGTGTCGCATCAGTTCTGTTCCCCGCCGTCTGACGTCAGCACGGGCACGTCAAGATTTTTAATTCCAACGAAACCATTTCATTTCTATCTGTGTCCCTAGACTCTCTTTCTTTTTATTCTCCTAAATCTGCCATGTTTCAAGCTCTCAAGCTCTACAACCACTTCCATTCTTTTCCTCCAGTGAAACTTTTGAAACAATGTAAGCTTTAATTTGGCCGACGTGCCACTTTTGTAATCTGTACGATCATTCTTTAATGTTTAGGCCGAAGTGCCTTCTTTCCTTTTCTGAATGCATTTTATACTTGAAATAATTTGCATGTCTTCAAGGTACACCTACACTGTGTAATCACTTCGGGGTAAAATACCTCGGACACAACTTCTAGTCTTGTTTATCTCGGCCTTGGCTTAACACTTGAAAACATTGTAACAAATGTTTTCTCAAGTGTTTGCTCAAAACTCGCCACTTTTTTATTTCTTAAGACTTCTGTCTTCAAATTTCTTCCAAGTCTTAGCAATATGGTAATCCTGGCAAGTTTGTAGATACTTCTTTCAACATAACATTGGATTAACTTGTAAATTTTTATCAAAAATTTCAACAGGTGTTTAAACCAATCTTTTTTCCCGGCTTAACTTCAACTTGTAAATTCTCTCAGAATTTCAACAAGTGTTAATCTTCGTTTCGGTTTAACTTCAACTTGTAAACTTTTCTCAAGTTTAAACAAGTGTTAAACATTAGTCTTCAATCTTCTAATTTGTCTACAAATTTCAACAAGTGTTTGAACAATGATCTCGATTTAACTTCAACTTGTAAATTGTCTATAAATTTCAACAAGTGTTAAACAATGATCTCAGTTTAACTTCAACTTGTAAATTGTCCACAAATTTCAACAAGTGTTAAACAATGATCTCAGTTTAACTTCAACTTGTAAATTGTCCACAAATTTCAACAAGTGTTAAACAATGATTTCGGTTTAACTTCAACTTGTAAATTGCTAAAAATTTCAACAAGTGTTAAACAATAATCTCGGTTTAACTTTAACTTGTAAATTGCTACAAATTTCAACAAGTGTTAAACATTATCTCGGTTTAACTTCAACTTGTAAATTGCTACAAATTTTAACAAGTGTTAAACAATAATCTCTCTTCTCTTTGCCCCCTGCATGGCTTTCACATGCTCTTTTGTGGACCTTATAAAAGGTCTTCAACCTGGCTAACTGCAGTCTGACCTTGTATGTTTTCTTTTTATCTTCTGGGATCTGAGATCTGCTCACTTTAGACTGAGCTCTTCTTTTCTCAGACCTAATCATCTAGACCGAGATCTTGGCTTCTGGAATCTGGGATCTGCTCACTTTTAGACTGAGCTCTTGTCTTCTCATATCTAGTGTTATCTCGGCTTGACAGGTGAGGTCACCTCGGCATCTTGTCGCTTTCTTTGAAGGTAATCCTTTAGATCCTCCTTGGTTCGTCTAAGAGCTCGGCTATCTCTGGATTTCAGCCTCTTTGGTGCACTACTTCCTGTGTCATTGCGAGTCCTTTTGGACCTCCCTCCATTGGTCGCATCGAAACAGAGGTCCTTCCCCTGAACATGTCGATGTTCTTTGGAGTCAGCTTCCTTGGTGCGATGTGTCCTCTGTGAATCTCTCCTTCTTGATTCTCCTCATCAAACCTCCCTTGAAGGCCGGTGAGAATGTTCCTTGGTCCTATCGTGCTGAGAAGTCGTAGGAGTTGTCTTCTGCCCTCCTGCCTAGGCATCTTTCTTGGCTGCTGGAATCGGCGTATCTTGTGACGGGAACGGTGGCTGCATGACGTTGTTCTGTATTATGAAATTGACAACCGTTTGCAGGTCTGCCAATTTGTTCGCCATTCCTTTCATCTCGTCGTCCCTTCGTAAGCATCTTATCCTTCCATACCTGGAGGTCGTCCTCGTTGTAATACCCGCTTCGGTCCGTTTTCTTTGGTTCGCCGCTCTCCTGGCCGACGTCCTTTCCTTCGTGATTCTTATCACGAGTCTCTTCGTTGCAGTTGACTTCTTCGACGTCAGAGTCAATATGTTTCCCATTCTTAGTAGGGGTGTTGTCCTCAACCTCCTCTTTCTGTCCGTCGTTGGCCATCTATTCTCCTTTCCTCCCCACAGACGGCGCCAAATTGTGTGGGTGATTTCTGACCACATTGCCAAACAGGTACCCAGCTGGAGAGCACC